TTTCATGACAGGCTCGTCTTTCACACAATTCAGGCTCAGCAGCAAAATAGGACAGTTTCGTCATACCAATATTCAAATATTTTACATCCGGCATTATATTATGACAGTCCAACATTTCTTAAAGAACAGGTACTTCATTCTAATATGTCAAACCCAATTCTCTAATATGTCTTTCATTGTGACAGATCCGCAATTTTGATATTATAAGCCCGGCCGGTCATTCTCGTTTGATTGTTGTCCATAATGCGATCGACCGTTCATCGTATTATTATGGTCTGGCACATAAAGTGCGCTTGAGTTCATTATAGGTTGTGGGGAGTTCATCATTGTTACCACCTTGTAGCATTGCCAATACCAGTGAACTCGCTGTAAGCCAATGAGATATATACAACGTAGATGGCGCTGTTCTTACCGCTGATTGGATATAATTGTGGACGTCTCTGAAGCGTGCAAGATATACTCTTCCGTATTTTCAAATACATTGTATGCATATACATGCTTCGGGGCCTAGGTGCAGGTAGTGAGAATACACCATAGTCACTGATGACGTCATAAAATTCACTGGTATTGGCAATGGTGTGATATAACTATAAATATTCAATAATGTTAGTTTTTGTGTAGTAATTATTTACTCAAGATTATGTGCTATATATCTCATATATACTCACAATAACCGGAAATATACATACATGAATACTTGACAAATTACATCAATTGATTAGTTTTGTAAACACATAAATAGCTCATGTTGTGTTTAACATAATGCGACTGGAATGATGGAGAAATAACGACTTTAGAGGGCGTTATGGTGTAAAAAACTGAAATCCTTGTCCCCCCACCTCCACAAAAGGGTGTTTGGCTGTAGTCGTCGACGAACTACTATTTCACGATGTTTTATGTTACAGTGATGCAGAAAATCAAAATAGTAATGCGTGAAGTTTTATAAATTTCACGATTTTTTGTTTCTTTTTACTGTAATCAATAACAATTCCTCGTTATACCTTGTCAGTTTAAAATAGTATTTCCCACATAACAGTGGACTAATATTATTCGTTGAATTATAAATAATTATGAACCATATATATATATTTATTCAGTACCATTGGCCATAGGCCATAATGTACACACTTAAATGTAACACAAATAAATAAATAGATCGTTTGACAAGAATAATCACTGCTACTGCTTGTCTGAATATTACAAATTTATACTTCACCTATGAATACCAAATAAAATTTATATTTCAGTTAAATTTCCCTCCAACAAACTATGACGTTTTTGTAAAGAGTAGAATACGTATTTTGCAAGATTTTGTATTGTATGTGTATTTTCAGATTGCAGTAGCAAAATAAATTTCCATTCAGGCGCTGGGCAATAGTAAAACTTGTGTATAAAACGAGTTCTAATTTCCTCAAATTTGGGGCATTGTAATAGAAAGTGGAACTCGTTTTCAATGAGATTACAACCAAGAGGACACAATCTTTGGTCAATGGTATTCCCAATGCCCTACCCTTTTCAATCATGAGCTCATGAGCAG